TGGTTATGGTATTTGGCTGCTAACCAAAAGGTTGGTGGTTTGAACCCAACAGCTGCTCCACAGAAGAAAGATGAGGCTGTCTGCTTCCACAAAGATTTACAGTGTTAGAAACCCAATGGGAGTCTCTTATGAGTCGGAATCAACCTAGTGGCAGCGGGTTTGGTTTTCTGGTTTGTGACTAACTAATTTCACTCAAGTTCATCCATATTATGAGGTGCTTCTCAGATACATCCATTATTCTTTAATGTTGTGTAGTACTCCATTGTGTGTATGTTATAGTTTATTTATCCATTCATTAATTGATAGGCACTTAGGCTGTTCCCATACTTTTTGCTAATGTGAATAATGCTGCTATGAACATGGGTGTGCATATATCTGTTCGTGTTATGACTGTTATTTCTTTAGGATATATACCTAGTTGTGGGATTGCAGGATCAAATGTTACTGCTATTTCCAACTTTTTACAGAAGCGCCATACTGTTTCAACACTGGTTGCACAATTTTGCAGTCCAACCAATAGTATATGAGGATTCCAGTCTCTCCACACCCTTACCAGCATTTGCTATTTTCTGTTTTTTTTTTTTTTAACTTTGCTATTAATGCTGGAGGTTAAAGTGGTATCTTTCTTTTGCTTTGATTTGCATCTTTAATGGCTAATGATTGCATTTCTTCATATGTTTGTTGGCTGCCTGAATATTTGGTGAAGTGTCTCTTCATGTCCTTTTCTCACTTTTAAATTAGATTGTTTGTCTTTCTATTGTGGCAGTGTTGAATTTTTCTATAAATTTTGGAGGTTAGTCCTTTGCCTGATATATTGTTACCAATTTTTTCCCCAGTCTGTAGGTTCTCTTTTTACCCTTTTGGTGAAGTGTTTTGATGCACACAAACATTTAATTTTTAGGAGGCCCCAGTTGTCTAGCTTGTCTTCTGCTGTTTCTGTTCTTTTAGTTATATTGATAGTGTATGTGCCATGCATCAGGGCCCCTAAGATTGTCTCTATTTTTTCTTTGATGATCTTTATAGTTTTAGGTTTTACATTTAGGTCTTTGATCCCTCTTAAGTTTTTGTACATGGCAAGAGATATGGACCCTGTTTCATTTTTCTTTCTGCAAATGAATATCCAGTTTTGCCAGCATCATTTGTTAAAAAAAATGATCTCTTCTCACTTTAGTGGGTTTCAGCCCTTTGTCAAAGATCAGCTGTCCATAGGTGGATGGATTTACTTCTGGGTTCTCAATTCTGTTCCATGGGTCTATAAGTCTTTCATTGCACCAGTACCAAGCTGTTTTGACTACTGTAGCTGTAGACTAGGTTTTGAGACTGGGGAGTGTGAGGCCTCCTACTTAGTTGTTCTTTTTTTTTTGTTTGA